ACACCCTACGGCGGCTGCGGCTGCGTGAGAGCGCGTCAAGTGGCTCAATTGGGCACTCGCTACAAATTGTTGTTCGTTTTATTGGTTGTTGTTTTTCTTTTTATTGTTTATATTCGATTTTTGTTATTGCCTGTTTCTCTGCCTTCGCGAATCTTTTGGTTATAAATCAACTTCTGAGGCTTTGGCTACCGTTTCAGCCATGGCGGAAGAGAAAACTTAAATAAATAAAATCTTAACAAGAAAATATCAACTAGAAAACAACAACAACACTTGCCAGCTGCACATTGCTTGAGCTCTAATTAAGGAAAGCGAGCAACTAAAGTTTATAATTTTTCTGTTGTTTCTTTTTTCGCTCGCTCAAAATTAAAAATATTTATATATTTCAAAGTCTGTTTTTTTAGTTTGTGGGTTGCCGTTTCGGTTGCTCGCCTTATGGCTCCCAATGTCCCGTGTCAAGTGTTAAACAACCTGTTGAGTGCATTTAACGTTGTTGTTGCTATTGCCGGGGCTGTAAATCAAGCCAAAAAGGCGATAAGCTACACAAATGAATTGTGGGCCAGTCGAAATGGTCGCAGACAACAACAACAGCCACGACAACAATAACTTATAAAAAAGCGCAATAGAACCTGTTGATGATGTCGACAGCAGCCCGCACCGCGCAGCCCCTGCCCCACTTCTCAGCTAGTGAATCCATTCGTGGACTTTCCGCTAAAAAAAGAAATAAGTTGCCTGGCTTTTTGTTATTGTTTTCTGTTGCTGTTGTTGTTCTACTCGAAGTCGGGCTCAAGTTGTGCTTGCACTGAAATTTATGGCGTATAAATTATCTCACACGTTGACTATTGACAGCTCTAAAATAATCGTAAAACGGCAAAGAAATCATAAAAGAGCCACGAAGCAGCACCGAAACGAGAACAGACGCAGCAGCAGCAGCAGCCGCCGCACCACCGGAGCCATTCAATGTGAATTACTATTTCAGCTTCAAGCTAAACTGCAAATACCAAAAAAAGAAAGAATATATGCTTATATATATATACATACATAAATACATATATATATATATATATATATATATATATAGACTGTCAGACAGGCGACGACGTTGGCCCCAAAGCCACGTCCTATGTGGCCATGTCGTGGCATAGGCCAGGCCAAGCCCCACAGTGCCTGCCGCACCACAGTCCTGGCCCGAGCGGTCTGCACAAAATGGAAAAGTTCCCAACAGTTGGGGGCCCATAACTTGCATATCAGGTCGGCCAGGGCGAGTCGAAGCGTTTCGGAGACAGCTAGCGATAAGCATTCAATTCCTGACGGCCGTCAAATAATTTTCACTAAGCCAGCTTTCGGCAGCGTCTCAGATCTGTAATATGCCAGAGATCGGCAGCCATTAGCTACCCTATAACAGCCATCGGGCGAGCAGCCATGATTTATAATGCCAGCGCTATCATTAACTATATATAGATATATATATATATATACATGTATATATGTATATATACTCCGATACAGCAGCAGCGCCTGCTCGAAACGAGTTTCGTTCAAATTTTAATATTTAAACTAATTTCACATTCGTATTATGACATTTAACATAAAGAAAACAATCTGTCATTTCGGCAGAGAGATAAATGTGCTCAACATGTTTGTCACAATTTTTTTTAGCTTTTTGCATATTCATCTATATCTATAGCTATATCTATATCTATATCTAGATACAGCTGTGTTCATAAAACTAGTAGCGTTGCACCACACAAAACCTAAGCCAATTGAAACGTTATTTTTCCAATTTGGAATAAAGCATAAAAGCAAAAGAGAGAATTATTAAAAAGTGCCGTTACTTTCGGCCAGGCTTCATTTCTATTTGACGGTTTTAAAAAAGTGCATTGAAAATCGCTTGTTCATAGAAATAGTAGTGCTGGATTTTTGAAGTTGAAAAAGAATTAAAAAAAAAATAAAAAAATTTAAAAAAAATATGTATAAATAGCTTCTATTTTACTCATTAAAATTTATTGTTTTATTTTCACTATATATATGCATATATAAATATTTATATATTGAATATATTCTCAAGTAGAATTCCACAAAAATTTCAGTTCAGTTAAATCAGATTTGATTGGTTCTAAAACCAAATCGGACAACTAAAATTTAGGCAAGTCAACAACTAAGAATAATTTTTAATTTAAGTTAAGTATTTTTTGTCTAAATAAAAAACATGTATGATCAAATTTCGCTACAAGTTTAATGAACTTCAACCTAAGTCCTTCAATTTAGACCAAAGCTCTGAAGGCATCAAAAGGAATTCGACTTAAGTTAGCCATGCGAAATGAAGATCAAAGTAAGATTTTGACTGGCAATTATTACATTTGATTGACATTTGACTAAGCTGCGATCGTTCCGGGAACAATTAAGACCGAGTTTGGCGCATAATTTGCTTTGCGAATTCCAGGAACTTTCGCTGTTGTCGCGTGTCCTTCCAGCAACTTTAGGGCTGCTTCATAACTTACGCTTTTTGCCACAATACGATACCACTATATATAGATAAATATATATATATATAGATATATATATATATATATATATGTATATATGTGTGTATGTATGTATTGTTAATTGTTAACCTGCAGATAATTCAGTTCGAAGGGCATTTAAGTACTCGACTTTTTTCTGTTTGCCCAACTAACTGGCCACAAATTGTGGCCACCCAGTGGGTAAGCCAGCTGTGGGCTTCGCGGGCCATACGTTTTTGCATCTCAACGGCTCATTATGCCGCTAAATTTATAGCCGCTTGCCACACCCATTTTGGTCATCGAAAACGGGCGGCTGTGACAGAATGCATAGCCGAACATGAAGTGCGCAATTCTTGAGGCTAAACGCGGCAGCCGGCAGCCGGCTGCCGGCTACGCTTTTTGTCCAATAAATCAAAACAGCTGAGCAAGAAAAGGCCATAGAATCGACTTAAGACTGCCAACTTTTTGTCTATCCGAGTAAGAATAGTTGCTGCCGTATATGCTGCTGCTGCCGCTGCTGCTGCCGTTGCTGCTGCTGTTTGCTTGGCTCGTAAAGCGACTTGAGCAACTGTTGACCGTAAAAATGATGAAGAAAATGGCGCATAAAAAATGTTGACGTACTTGGAACTGCGCTAACGTTGACTGGAAGATCAGGCGAAGGTGGCAGCAGCAGCAATTGCTATTGCACCAGCAGCAGCAGCAGCAGCAACAGCAAATATTGTTGCCTGTGGCAGCTTGAAGCTTCCAGGCAGTTAGTCAGCCAGCTAGGCCAGTCAACGTCATCATCATCAGCATGATGATGATCATGATCATCAGCAGCAGCAGCAACTCGGGACAGTCATAAATGTTGATGAACAGCAGGCGAACTTTGTTAAAGGCGTTGCTGCGCTTTTGTTGTTGCTGCTGCTGCTGTGCAACGGCAACAACAAAATTGAAAAGATGCAACCAGAAGATACAAAAGAACCAAAAGAGAAAAAAGGTTGCAATGTTTTATGACTTTTTGGGCTGCGCGCTTTGTTCTATGTGTGTGCCCCAACTCTGTGGCCCGTTGCGTCGCGTCTCTGTGCCGTTGACAGCTTTGACTTTTGACTTCTGTTGCCCCCCTTTTGAGGCACGCCTAACACCCGCCACACACTCTGTGCAGCGCCTGTCCGAGCGAGCCCAGCAATTTATGAGTCGTCAGTTGGCAGTTGCCAAGTTGCCAAGTTACCAAGTTGGCAACTTGCAGCCAGCAAAGCAGCAGCAGCAGCAGCCGCAGCCGCAGCAGCAGCAAGTTGCAAGTTGCAAGTCGGCAGTTTTATGAGTCGCTTTGAGTCCCATTTGGCGAAGTGCATGCACAAATCAGCAGGTTTACAAATTTGTTGACGCGATTTGTTGGCCATTTGGACAAAAGGCAGCAAGAACCGAAAAAAAAACAGAAGCGACGGCAGCAAAAGCTGTCAACTGGGTAACAAAATTCAAAGTTTTGGGCTGACATTAAACAGTCAGCAAAAGTGAAAATTTGACATGAGAGCAAATGAAATAAAACAAAGGGAAAACAGTCAAACAAACTACAGCAAACAACCGACAACCAACAAACAACCAACAAACAACAACAGCAGCAGCAGCAACAGCAACAGCAACAGCAACAACCAACAGTAGCAACAACAAGAAAACTTTTTGACAAGTCGCAGCAAACTTTTTGCCCTCCGCCACACAAAAACTTGCAAAGGCGCACAAAATGGGAAATGGGCGCAAACCAAGAGCCAGAAGAAGAAGAAGAGCAAGACGAAGACGCAGACAGCAACAGCAACAGCAACAACAGCAACATTAGCCTTTAGTTAGTTAGAAGAGTCCAGGACAGTTGCGCCTTAGCTGGGGTAGTGTGATACCCGACCCTGCAGCAAGTTCAAAAGTGCAAAACTTTGCTTCATGCTTAACCCAAAGCCGACGAGCCAAACTTTTTCTGTCCAGCCCAATCACAGCCTTAACCCATGTGCGCCCACTCTACACAGCTAATGCTCGTGAAGCAACAATTTGTAAACGCGAAATTTGAAAAAAAAAAAAAAACAAAAAGAAAAAGAAAAAATTGAACTACAAATCCCTAATGCAAAACTAACTTCGCTGCAAGAACTTATGACTTATGTTTAACTATATGAAACAACTTACAAAGAACTTTTTAGTCTCCCGAGACAATACTACACAGAGCAAGCTGCTTCTTCTTTAAAGAGTTCTTTAGATAAATCAAGTATCAGATATATCATATAAGTGGTTGAACTGAAATCCACTCGATCAGTTTATTAAAACAGAAATTTTTATACATAGAACTTGATCAAGTTTTGGCTTGTTGCAAAAAATCTTTGGCATTTCCAAACTCTCTAAATATAGAGATCAGCAATCGATCAAATCTTAATATATATGATTTTTAGATACGATCAAATTTCTGGCAACTTTGAGGCTGATCGCTGTGGCAAGTCCTTGGCTGAGACTTTCGCTCGGGATCTTTGATCTGTGACTCACCTATGTTGTGCTGGTTTGTGTGGAGGACCGCACCAAATGCCATTAGATCCTTGACGGGTGGTGCTCGGCTACCGAGGGCGGCAAAACCGTCGCCCAGAAATGACGCCAGCGCGACAGCCCTGAGGGGCGCTTTGGATGCCTCGGTGAGAATTTTGTTATCGAATATATCGAGGCTGGGGGGCGAGATGATAATGGTCACGATGATAATGAGGCGCACACACGCACTGACGCGACGAACGCGCACACACACTCGCACGCGGGCAGAGCGTAGATGCGAATGCGAATGCGGGCGCGACCAGAAGAGAGCGGGAGGCTAAAGGACAGAGAGACAAACACAAAGAGAGACAGAGATAGAGCGAGAAAGAGAGGGAGAGAGCGCGAGCTGTGTGGAGCACGTGTGTGTTTGTTGTGTTGTTTAATGCCGGCGGCAAAACACGCGACAGCTGGCAGCTGATATTTATTTGTTGTTGTTGTCGTCGTCGTCGTTGTTTTGATTTGTATTTGTTGTTAACTTATTCTTCTTCTTCTTGCTGTTGTCGGTGTTGTTGTTGTTGCTTGTAATCCACTTGGCACTTTCTTATGCAGGCGAAGCTATTTGTTGTTGTTGTTGTTGTATTCCTTGGCAAGTAACTCACTTGAAAAAAACTTTGGCAACAAATTCTTGTGTGCTCGAAAAAAAATCGAATCGCATCGAAACGCGACGCAAAATAAGGACGCGCAACGCGACGGGGCAGCAGTCGAGGCAGAGAAACAAGAAGAAGAGTGCCAGAGAACAGCTGTTTAACAATTTTTGTTTGTTGTGTGTTCGGCCACTGCTTTTGTTTTTTCTTTTTTTTGGCAACGTCTTTCGAAAGAACGGCAGAGGCAATGACTACGGCAACGGCAGCGTCAACGGTAACGGTAACGGTACGTATCGATGTCGATAACGATAACGGGCCGCAACATGCGAGCGCACCACGCGAACGTCAAACAAAAACTGAAAACGGCGACGGCAGCAACGGGCAGCAATAGCAACGAGGCGAACACACCGAAAACTCGCTGCGTCGACAGCGACGGCGACGGCAACGACGACGGCGGCAGAGCGAGCGCGAGCGAATGGCAATGCGAAGGCGAAACACAGCCAAACACAAACTGAACCGGTACCCGAGTTCGATACCTGATGCTGCTGCTGCTGCTGCTGCTGTTGCTGTTGCTGTTGCTGCTCGCGTCTGTCCTACCCCTTAACGTTGGTCGTGTACGAATCGCATGCGCGCTCACTCACACAGACGCACGCACACATACGGGGCCTGCTCAATGGCAAACAATTTCCCCTGCGCATGCAGCTGCCTGGGCCAGAGCGAGACAACTAGCTGATACGTGGTGTTGCTGCAAAAATAGCAATGGAGTCTGTTGCTGACATTTGTCGCAGTCATCGGCTGCGGCGACAGTTGCCGTTGCCGCTGCTGCTGTCGACGTCGTCGTTTGCGGTTAGAAGGGGGCGTTGCTAAGCAACTGGTTTCGGTTTCGGTTTCATGGCAGAGGCGTTCGCATATCGCCGCCGTTGCTGCTGTCGCTGTCGCTGCTGCTGCGCATCCTCTCTGCAGGCACTGGCAGCATTCGAATGCTATTATTGTTGCTGTTGCTGTTGCTGCTGCTGACGCTGCCGCCACTGCTGCTGCTTCTGCTGCTGGTTGGGGCAGAAAGTTTGTCGAACCAATGGCATTTTTCAATGTGACATTTGGCGCTTTTGCTCTTGTTGTTACAGTCACGTTCACGTTTCTGTCTCTCTGTCTGTGCACATGTGTGCGTGTGTGTGTGTGTGTAAGTGTGAGTGTATATTTGTTGTCTCTGTATGTGCGTGTCCCTATGTGTGAGTTGTTGCCTTGCCAAGGTAAAATGTCAAATGCTTTTGGACTGTCAACTGTTGGTCGCAACTTTTCTTACTTGTTTTTTTTTTGTTTGTTTTTTTTTTGCATTTCTACTTTTGCTCTGTGCTTGCGCCAACTTTGCATTGGTAAGACGAAGCCGTAGCTTTTTAAAGCCCAAGTTTAAGCACAAGCAGAGCAACAACATGAACAATAACAACCACAACAACAACAGCAACAACAACAACAATAGCAGCAGCAGCAAGCTCTGCTGCCACCGCCAGAGTCTTGTCGTTAGCGTTGTCAAAGCCAGGAGCAGCAGCAAAGCAGAAAAATTCAACGCCCCTTTGGCGTTTTAACGCATTGGAGCAAAAAAATAAATAAAAAAAATTTGTAAAAAAAGAAAACACAATACAGCCGTATATATATGTATATGTATGCGTGTGTGTGTGTGTGTATTTGGTATTCCGGCAGCGTTCGCATTTCGCATTCAACGTGACATGGTAATAAGCCAAAGATCAAGCGCAATAAAAAATGAGCAAAAAAAAAACAACAAAAACCAAAATAAAACGTAAAAAAATACACGAAAAACTGCAAAAAAAGATGCCAAACTTCAAATAAGGAAAGAAGAAGCAGCAGCTGCTTGACACTCCCGAGAGCGAGAGTGAGTGTGCGAGCGAGCCGGCAATAGTGCGACAGAGAGTGAGTGAGTGAGTGAATGAGCTTTGTTGTTGGCCAGTGGGTGGCGCCCGCTATCTGGCTATGTGTGTGTGCGTGTGTGTGAGCGCCATTGTCGTTTGCTGCTGCTGCCACGGAGGAGGGACGCAGAGCGGAGCGCTGCGTGCTGAGTGAGTGGCGCTTGGCGGCTGCCGCTGAAGCTGAAGTTGATGCTGATGCTGATGCTGATGCGAGTGCTGCTGCTGGCAACGCAGTCGCGCCTTCGTCTTCGACAGCTGGGGCATGATGAGTGGGTGGGCGTGGAACGTGAGCGGAAGCGGGAGCGACTTTGCCAGCCTTCTGTATTTCCTTTTTATACATTTGCTTTGTGTGTTTGCGTATATCTGTCTCTGTGTGTGTGTGTGTGTGTGTGTGTGTGTGTGTGTGTGTGTGTGTGTGTGTGTGTGTGAGTCAAAAATATTGCACATTAGGGTGTTAAGCTGTGAAGTGCTTGGCTGCCTCTGCCTGTCCTGGTCCTGCGCCACATTGAGCACGTCTGTCTGCCACTCTGCGTATGTGTGTGTGTGTGTGTGTGTGTGTGTGTGTGTATGTGCGTGTGTGTTTGTGTGTACTGGCGCTTTAGCGTTTAGACCGCGCGCGCTCATTTGTCTGATGTTTCACTTGTCAATGTCCTTGCCCGTTGCAGTTGGCCGACTTACGCGCGTGCCGCCCGCCCTGCCGCCCCCTCTTCCACGGCCTGCAGCTGTCAGCTGTCGTCAGTTAATGCTAAATTGTTGCTCTTGCTGCTGATGTTGCTATCAACAATTTGCTATTCTCAAAGTGCGATCATCCAAGAAGCGCTAGATATCCAAGTTACCCTGGCTTGGGTCATTAATGCACATCAACAACGAGGATTTTCTAGCCCTTAAAACTTCTTAGCCACAACGAAAAGTCAATCTTTTTGTATGTAAAACTTCATTAATATTCAGGTGATATCAGTGGAGTGGCTAGAAGGTAAGCTTTTAACAGGATTAGCCGACTAGGAAATGGCCGGCAGCGACTGTAAGGCTCCCAGATTGAGGGGAATGCAGGAGGCATCTATAAATTATAACTGTCTCTACTTGGGTATGGCAAATTTGATCAGTTATCTTTTAACGTAAAGTTTGGATGAAACGAATATTGAGAAACAATTCAAACAATTTACATATCAAATTTGTTATTTATTTTTATTGCTCTAAGCAACGAACTTGAGATCGATATCGAGTTTAATCGATAGCTCCAAATGGAAATGGTTTTCGATCCTGTTACACCTGAAACTAAACTGATCGAAGTACATAGATGTAGAAGAGAATTCTCAAGCTCTTCTCTTATATTTATGTTTATATATTATTCAGCTCCCGATCGACTTTTTCTTATTATAAGTCTTATACCTTTCGCTGACTGCTTCTTATATAATTGAAAAACTTATCAGCTTTAGTTGCCAAATTCAATGCCAATTCGAATATTCTGAATTGCAGTTCGCATTGTCTAAGGTATCTTAACCCAGGTAAGTTCGCTGAAAGATCTTTCTTTGTTTTAGCCAAGTCGAGTTGAAAGCTTTTTCAGTGACATCAAATGAAGCGAATATGGAAATGTTTGCATAATTCGGTTCCGCTTTCTCACTTATTTGGAGCTCGAATAATTTTCTTTTAATTTTCAGCGGCTTTGACTGGGGAGAGTTGGCCATATTTCAAGCTTGAATTATGTCGGAAAGGCGAATAAATTTTGTATTTAAAAACATTTGCTTGGTCCTCATTGGGCTGCAGTGTCGCAGGCATAAAATAATCTTTCATATTTATTTAGCTGGCCTGTGGAGTGTTTCATAAATACATCAAAAACTTAATTACCGAAAGCAACAAATAAAAATCCGTGGAAATTGATTAATTACAACTGCAATGCAAACATTAAATAAATTCGAATTTATCTATTCCTGTTTTTATCTCACTCTTGCCGACGCAAGGACTTCGCCTGTAGGTCAATGTGGGCACTTCAAGGAACTGCTCTAAGCTCTTACCTCATAGCTGAGCTAAACTTGAGCGCAGCCGCTCCAGTTGGTCGCGTATCGCGCTGCCAATCTGCTGCTGCACATTCAAAGCGTTTCGGCCAGCGGAATATTAGTTTTGGGCCACTGACTGCTCACCTTTGGGGCGCCATTTGTTGTAGCCGTGGCGAACGGCAAACAAATGTCAGTATCAAAAATCGCTGGCGCAGACAAACAAGTGGCAAGAAAATGTTGGCCAACTGCTTGCTGTGGCCAGCACCACGCCCACTGGTGGCGGCGCTTCGATGGCAGCAACAACAACAACACCAAGGATAACCAAAATAGCAAAAGCGGCGAAACAAAAGCCGCGACGCTCCATAAACTTTTGGCTCTGGCGACGCGGGCCACGAGGCAAACAAAAAGGATGCGAGTGTAGTCGAGACATGGCAGCGGCCAGGAGTCAAGTGCCAGTGCCCCTCCCGCTCCCTCTCCCTACTGCCTCGGGCTAAAGGACAGCTCGACTGGCAGGACGACCACGACTACGAAAACACTTGGCGATCGCAGAGCTCAGATATGCAAACACACGCGCGCAGCGCCCTCTGCCCGCACCCCACCAATGCGAGGGGGCTACGGCAAGCGGCCAACGATGCGACGCACAACAAAGAGACGACAAAAGCGACTGCGACTACAGCAACAACAATCGACACAGGAGCAAACAGACAGCGCCAAAGTGTACGACTGGCAGCTACCCTGCAATCTGATGAGAGCTCTCGCTGAGTCTAGCGTCGTATGGAAAGTATAGTCTGATGAACATAAGCTTGTTGCTAGCACAGGCACAGCCAATATGCCCGCTCTGCTGGGGCTTGCTTGCAGGGTATTAAAAGCCAAATCAAAGCCAGGCCAACAGTTGAGAGCGTTGTCGTTGTCGTTGTGTGGGCGGTGCGCAAGTGCCACGCCTAGCGTTGAATGCTTGGCGCCATAAGAGTTGCAGCAACAATAGCAACAACAACAACAGCAACAATAAGCTGCTGTTGTGTGTCACTTTTGCTTGTTTGTTGCGGAAAAATACTTTTTCCTGAGATTTGAGCTCCGTTCTTAGCTTCGTGTGCGAGCTGCACACAATGTGTATGTGTGTGTGTGTATGCGTGTGTGTGTGTTGGCACTGCACTGATATGGCTGCAACAGCTGCACATGTGTGTCTTGTCTCTGTTTGCGTCTCGCTCGCACATGGCACACAGTCTTTATTCTAATATTTGCGATTTCTGATTTAGCCAGCGAGCGAGAGCGCTGCCCCTCACGTGCCACAAAATGTGGCACAACAGCACGCCCGCCCTGTCACACACACACAGACACACAGACACACACTGTAGCGCCTGCCGTCACCACACTGGCTTGCCGCAGCGCTTTGTTATTTGTTTTGGCAACATAAATGTCACTTGTTTGCAACTTGCTCCACATCGCCGTAGGTAACTTTTGCAGGCAACGGCCAACAACGCCCAGGCTTGGCCATTCTGTCTGTCCATTTACGGTATCTTTTCTCCATTTTGACATGTTGTCAACTTCACGTAACGTCATTCATTCCAAGTTTT